TCGAATTTAAAGTTTATTTAAATCCAGTAATTCCGCCGTTTAGCTAATACAGTCACAGTCACAGTCACAGACACACTGCCACACACAGTGATAAGGAAAAGTGAGCTTGACTTGAGGGAGTGTCATGCTCTCCATGTTTATGTTCCCACTCTAACAACCGTTGATTGTATTGGGAAGTGTATTTTGTTCCTACTCTACCAGCCGTTCATTTCTCTTTTGACCCAAAGAAAAGTGACCATCAATTCAATGCAAGGAAATTATAACAAAGATGTTGGCTTAACTTGCAAGATCTGAATAAGAACATAAGAACTGAAAAATATATTGGACTAGATTATTTTCCCTGATTATGTTATTGTGGAGCTTTAGTCGATTTTGATTTATATCAGTCAAGGTACGTACAAGTTAGATTCCAAACAGTTGTGCAAGTGCCTCCCCCCACCCACCACCAATGCAAAATGGTATGTTGGGAGGGAAACTTATGTACGAGTTCATTGCATTGAGGCATCCAAAGAAAGATGACATGATTGTCCAAGAAGCTGCATCGAGATGCTGATGGGTTGTCATGCATGAGTAGCTAGCTTCATTTTACGTACGTTTGTTTGCATCTGGGGGAAGGAACTACCTTAGAAACCCCTGTCGTTCATATCTACACTTATGTTTTCTTTTGTTTCTTTTGGGCCATGTACGTTTTATGTAATTAATAATGAACTCATTTAATTAGTTGCATTAGTATTGTTTTATGGAAGATTTACAGTTCAGAGTCTGGAAATGAGATGAGATGACACTTTCTTCTAGCTAGATAAAACCTACCTACTGCATCCAATTATCAAAAGAAACAAACCCAACTTACCTAAGATACATGGATTCCTTCACCCACTGTTTCGTCTAATTTCTTTTACTTTTTTTCCTTTCTATTTATTTCTTTGTTGGAGTTGAAAGACGCAGAGAAAGAACAAAAACTTGTCATTTTCTTTTTCTTGATGATGACTAAGTTGTTTTACTGAATTAATATATTGATCTGTAACTCTTCTTGAAACTCACAACCTTGTCCACCATATTGCCTTCCTTGAGGAAGAGGAAGGTAGGCAATGCCTCCACATCCCACTCCTCGGAAGTCAATTCGTCCACACATCCACCTTGAGGAAGGTCACTTCCGGGTTCTTTCTAGCCAACTCCGCATTATCTGTTGCAATTAGCTAGACTAGAGAGAATGGACAAACGAGTGTATAAGAAAAGGAACAATAATGCAAGCAAAAGTTGATAGTGTTTGAAAATTATGTGTTGAATGCCCTCAAGAATTTTGCAGTAACCCCTGATATTTTCTTGAAGTATAGTAGCTTTATGGCATGGTGGAAGAAGTATAATGAAACTGTGGGAAAGCTCAACGCAGCTGGCTCGTATCATGACGGATGGCACATACGTGCGACGGTGCGATTATGAGAAAGGGGTGAAGATGGTTTTCTGATCTCTATAATCAAATGAATAAGTTTTATGCCAACCGGATGGAGCATGTTGAAATTTGTGTGTCTTGTTGGTGCTTTTCTATTTTTACTTTCTTTCTCTTTTCCTAGTAAGCTTTGGTGGTTGAAAAAATATAAATTTGTGTTGGTGGCTTTGTTGCTTTGTTAAGGGTATTGCAAATTGGGTTTTGCTGCCAATCTGGGAATTGAAGTCTTGGAATTAGCTTAACATTGTGGCTTGTATTAATCTTGCTTATGAATTTACAAAAGAAAAGCTTGTTTTATTATTTTGTCAAACAGAACAATTATTTATTCATGAAATCAAGTTATGACATTTATTGATGTATGTGGTTCATGTAAAATAGATTTGAAGATGGGTAAATTAATGTGCCTATTTAGCATAGCATGTATATGATTTATGTAAATGTCAAAAGTCTATCTCCATTGCCTATAGGCAGGTGGCTCGTAGAAAGAGTTCAAAATGTGTTGTCTCTGATTTCTATGTGCCTTAATGTCCGTCTCTAATTTCTTGACATGTGCCCATCTACTTAACCCCTACACAAACACTGTTAAATTATAATTATAAAAAAACTACGAACTAAAATATAAAAATACATATACTATAAATATCAAAGCTAATTTGATATCTAGTTGGCGTACGTGTATTGTATATAAAGGTTTAGGGATAGCGGTAGCTAAAAATCATCATCATCATCATGATGTGTTTTGGTGTGGATTGGAGGGAACCAAACCCTAATTGGGGAGGAATTGTGTCTATTGAATACACTTACTTGGTATCTGATCTAAGGAGAAAGACACCTTGATATTTGCTAACTAAGTACTAAGGTTTCCGACTCCAGCTGTGATTGCATGGTTACCTATAGGGAAGTAGTTTTTGTGTCGTAATAAGGGTTTTAAAAAAAAAAAAAAAAAAAATATTCCCAAGAGAATGACTTTTGAAGATATTCAGAAGCAGCTAAAGAAAAAAAAAACACTTTACGATCCTTGTTCACCAAGAAACGTTCCTTGTTGACCAAGAAACTACTTACAGGAAAGTCTCTTTTTAGAGGCAATTACTTCCTCTCCAAGCCTTCCGCTTTTTCTCATTTGTAGACTTTTGTAGGGTTCTTTGACTGTAATTTTGGAACTATAAAGTAACAGATTATGATACTGGAGCGTGAGTTGAGTTTTGTAGGGTTCCCCAACTCCACATCCAGTTCTCTGAAAACCCTAATAATTTCTCTCCCTCTTCTTCCCTTTTCAAAGTAAGGGATTCCCCCAAGTCCTCCTCCAATTCTCCGAAAACGCCATGATAAGACAGAGAAACCCAAGAACTCAAATTTCAAGCCCACGCTTGACAAAGAAAGCAAAACAAGAAGAGGAAGAAGACATGATTGCCAACTTACCAGACGAACTTCTTAGCCATATTCTCTCATTGTTACCAACCAAACATGCTGTGGCCACTACCGTGCTCTCCAAGAAATGGACCAACCTATGGACTTCTGCTTCCTTCTTCAAGCTCGACCTTGACGACAGACTACTACTGCGCCCCAAAAGCTTCACATCGATGCCTAATCACGCTTCCTTATTTGCCAACTTCGTGAACCACGTCCTTGGCCTCATCAATTTGCCATGCGTACAAAAAATCACATTCTTTTGCTCCGACTCTTACGATTCGAATCTCATAAATTCTTGGTTGCTTGTTGCATGCACATCCAACGTTGTTGAGGTCGACATCAGAATTCCTTACACTCAAAATCCTATCCAATTGCCTCAAACCTTGTACGCTAGTAGGTCGCTTCGGGTACTAAAACTAAATGCGAATATAAGGCTGGATTTTCCTCCAGATTGCGTGTGTTTTCCGAGCCTAAAGGTTCTTTGGATAAAAGTTTATAACCAAGATGGTATTACGTTTACGCAGAAGCTTTTCCATATCTGCTTTGTGCTTGAAGATTTGTTCATGGAGAGTGACATATTGAACAAGGAAAGGGAAGTGGTTTTCACGGTAAAATCGAATACACTTAAGAGGCTGAAGATTGAATGCTTGGTGCATAGTTTCGATATCGAGTATAGCTTTGTGGTAGATTGCCCAAACCTTGAGCACCTTGATCTCTGCGATGACTTATTGGCCAAGTATAAAATCTCTACGGATTTGAAGGTTCTTGATGATGCAAAGATTTGTATTGGACTCCCTTCTGCAGATTATGGTGCCTTTGAACTTTATTTCGAGGTAAAGCACTCTAACCGTGCTTTTGAGCTTCTTGAAGCACTCTCAAATGTCAAGTCCTTATCATTGTCTGGATGTACTACAGGGGTAAGTCTCTGCTTTTCTTTAACTTTACCATGTCACCTTTATAGTTAAAACTATATGTTTGAATGTGTGGTCCAAATTTACAGCTGAGATTATAAGTCACGATTACATTATTAAAATTTAACGAGTACATATTTCTATGTAGTAGCTAACCATGTTCCATTACTTTTGTTTCTTTTGCATGTCAAGGCTGTCAGCTATTCCTATGAGACTCTGGAACACACTGATTCTGATGAAAATGAAGATGGAATTGCACTACGGATCCGCTTGAGAAATTTCATGCTCAAATTTCCTCTCCTTAGGTGTTTGGAGCTGGGTTTCCGCACCAGTGAGAGCTGGAACATATTGACCTTATTGCTACATAGCTCGCCTAATCTGCAGCATCTTATCTTGAGAAAGGTATGTTTACATTACATTAATGAACAATTTCAACTGCATGGTTTTCAGCACTTTCATCTTCTTACCATTCAATTTTGTTTTTTTTTTTTTAACGACAGGAACTAAATGGATACTCTGTTGGTTATAAAAGATTTTCTTACGGAATGCCCAAAGGATCGGTGCCGGAATGTTTGTTGTGTCACCTTAAAGAAATGGAGATTTGGGGATTTGAGGGGGTGAAATATGACTTGCCAGTGGTAGAGTTCTTTTTGGGGCATGCAGAAGTCTTGCAAAAGATGAAAATTTATGTCCAAGAATTATCATCAGATGAGGAGATTATGCTCAGCGAGCATGTGTTGGAAATTCCAAAAGTTTCAGAAGCATGTCAAGTGGAGATAAAATATGAATATTAAAAGAAAATTAAGGGTTGGGCGTCTTGTGATCAAAATTGGGTTTCCAAAGAATCACTCCTAACTTACCCAAGAGCAAGCCTTTGCTTTGGAAAGTGCTCCAATGCACTGGAGGAGAGCCATGCTGATACAAAAGGATGCTAAAGTCTAGGCTAAGTTCGCCACCAACTTTGGCTACAACATTCAAAAGTTGGAAAAAAAAATAAAATGAAAAGGCAGTTCAAACCGAGCAAATCAAAACCAATGCAAGAGATTTAGCTTGATTTTTACCCACAAAAAGTGTAATTTGTGACCCAATTGAACCAAACCGCTATTTTATTGTACGGTGGTCAATTTGGTGACAGCTGCCGAAATCGAACAAAACCAGCCATACTATCTTCTTTTGTTATTGTTCTATGACACATTTTTTGTAAACTTGTAGTGAGCAACTTCTATCGCATATTTTAAAAGGAAAAGAAAATCATCATATTGGCGTTTCTCATAAGCATAAAGGAGTTGGTGACTTTCATGATCAATCTGCTAAGAAATCAGTAAATAAAATACATCATTTCCTATGTATCTGCAAAACTTACCGAGCCGCTAAGGAGAAATTGGTCAGAAAATATAACCACCTAGAAAGTATGACATTCCGGCTGCAGTGGACAACCGCTACAGAGGGTACATTTAGTAGTTCAGTCTAGCTAGATTCGTATGCACTTAAACTAGGGGAACGAAAAGCAATTTTCTGCTGATAGTAGAAACATGACAGGATTAAATTCCTGAATTATAGCGACCCATTTTCACACAGCAGCATCAGGGTCTAACCTTCTCTGAATGGCAGCAGCAGCCTGGCATGAATAAGAGGTGATACCATAAACAAAAGGCCAGAACATGATTAAGAATTATAACAAGAGGACAGCTCTGGTTACTTATCCTCACCTCAAAGTTTCCAATCTTGTACTGGTAAGCCATCTCTTCCCTGAGTTGAGCTTGCTCTTTCATTGCTTGTGCCTGAAAATTCAAATGGAGTGAGGAAGTGTATTTTTTGAATGAAGTTTACATGCGATAAACAATTGAATGTGAAGAGCAGAAACTAACCAGTCCACTCTGCATAGAGCGCTTCAGAGCTTCTACTTCTTCTTCCTTTTGCTTTTCACGCACTCGCATCATTTCTTGCCTGATTAGCAATACAATATTATTGGCTAAACACAAGAATGCAATCATTGCAATAAATTTGGTTTAACAGATCCAAACTGGTATCATGTTTTTCCTATCCTGTATCTGAAAAAAGTTGCCGTTGCCTTTTTTCTTTCTGTGCATGCAACTGCCAAACTGAAGTTTCTAAGAACATTCTAACACAAAATGACTAATAAGTTACATTTTGCAGTTGCTCTACATTGTCTACAATTAAGGATTGTAAAAGTTTCATCTTTTTTCCTTTTAATAGCTGGCTTTTCATATGAACGAATTGAAACTGAAAATTGACAAAATTAGTCCATAAAATGAAAACTAAAAACTATAGTCTCAGAGCAGAAACTTAAGATGCCACTTCATGACAAATCCAAATAACAGAGATAGATAGCAATAAAACATACCGTCGCTGTTCTTCATCATTGAATACAGTACGTTCTGTTTGCCCAACCTTTTTATAACCTCTTTTGATTTCCTTTTCCAATTTACGCCTGTAATAAGCATCAAGGCTATAATACCTGCAACCACAAAAGTTGAAGTAATTACTAGTCATTCTGTGGTGTTTTGAATCATTTCACATTTTGAATATGTGCATTCACTCTACAGGTTTTCTAGTTAGGGTGACTATAAACAAAAAAGTGAGAACATACCAACCCTTCTCACTCATACAACCAACCTGAAATGACATCTGTAACATTAAACCCAAACAAAGTCTTTCCAATTTTATATATTATCTCCCCTTTGTTTCCTTCTCCAAATAAATAGCTAGAAATCTGGCATGCTATGTTGTCAAATTGTAAATAAGATCCACACCATGAAACATGATTCCACCTATTCAAATATCCTGATTCGCAATCTAATAACTTAACATGTTAAACCATTTGGTAAGTACTAACTAGTTGTATTGGTCACACATAAAGTTATGAAAACAACCATTGAAAAAATTAGGCGGATCAAATTTTAAGTCAAGAAGGATATTTCACTCAAATTAGATAGCGCACAAATTCGATTCTCCTTTGAGAGTCCCTGGAGAGAAAGAGCGAACACCACCACCTAAAGCTCTAGATATAGAGATGACTAATGTTAAATAATTTATCATCTTATTGGGCCTTATTTAGGTGCTTAGATTAAGATACATAAAAAGGGAGGAACAAAGCTATATAACTTTTTGTTTTTCAGAAAAGTAATGGAAGTGCATAAAATTAAAAGAATAGAGGCTTACTTTTTGGAAGGGAAGGTAGCTGTGTTGTGATCTTCCATGAACCTATCAAGAAGGATACACATTTCTACTCAGATTGTAAAATTCCAAAATTACAAAAGCTAACATATTCCTATTATCTTCATTGCATACTCAGTTCCAGTGAAATTAAAAAAAACTAAAATGATAGACCAAGAACGAAGATAAATTAAATGTCCTCCACACACACAAACACACACTTACTGTTTGAACATCTGCTTCTCTTCCCAATTTGGCAGATGTTCCAGGTTCACCTAAAGAAAGATAAAACAATTATCATTAAAGCTATATTATCAACTCCTGCAATTCAGAAACTTATAAATACATGACTTCTTCAGCACATATATAAAAGAAAAGGTAAAATCTGCAATCTTAAAACTCCAACCAAGATATGTGAAATAAAATATTCTGCAGCTTTCTGGTTTCATGGGGTGGAAAAACAGTTGGAAAATGAACTCACCTGTTTTACTTCTGCCAACCATGCAGTGAACTCTGGTCGTTTGTTCCTATATATAAATATCAATCATCAAATTCAAACGGCCATTAAATAATTAAACACTAAAACTACCAAAAGAGAGAAATTAAGTTTTGTTAAGGGACAAGTAGACTTGAAAAAGAATCAACAAGATCATCAAAGTTCATATCTTTTTCATAAAATTTCTCAGCATCCAAACAGAAACTCTAAAACCCTAAAACAATAAAAAAGAAAAAGATCAACTAACATACCACATATCAGTTTCTCTGATGATCCCATACTTCCCCCATGAATCAGTGACAGCTCCTTTCTTTCCCTTCTCCTTCTTTTCCTTCCCCTTCCTCTTTCTCTTCTCCTTCTTCTTCTTCCTCTCTTCCTCTCTTCTCCTTTTCTTCTCCTTCTCTCTTCTTCTCCTCTTCCTTTCTCTGTCATCGTCTTTCTCTTTCCTTCTCTTCCTCTTCCTCCTCCTGTCACTATCACTCTCGCTCTCGCTCTCACTCTCCGACGCCGAATCCGAACCGCTCTCCTCCGACTCCGACTTGGAGTCCGAATCCGAATCCGACTCGCTACTGTACCGCCTCCGCGATCTCCTCTTCCTTCTATCGCTCCCCACGCGTTTTTCATCACTTAACTCTGAGCTTTCCCGCGCTTTCCTTCTGGATTTTCTGCGTTTTCTATCTTCTTCGGACTGGGAATCGAAATGTTCTATCGCTTTCTCGGATTTTCTTTCGTTTTCGTCCTCTTTCTCTGAGCTTTTGCTTCTTCTCTCTTGAACGCTGCCATTTCGATCTTTGCCCATTTTGCTGTTCAGGAACAGAGTGAGAGGCAAAGAGAGAAACGCTTAGGGTGGAGGGTGGAGGGTGGAGGTTGGAGCTAATTGAAGGGATGGTTTCGTTTGTGTGTTTCTTGATGAGACTGGACAGAACAGTCGAAGAAAGGGCCTGATGGAGAAAGAGCTGGGGTCTCCTCTAGGCCTAATACTGGCAAGGATCACAGCCCACTCTACGTGGGCTAAAACATGGCTCTAGTGAGTGCCATATCTGAATAATAGATATAAACCTTTATATTAGATACATGATTCATCTGAATACTAACTTTACTTAAGTTTAATGAGATGATCATGTGACTAATATAAAGGTCCACATGAGGAGTCCATATATGATACCCTCACTATAGAATTTCACCTGTTTCTTTTCGAAATTGACAATGAGTTTATTCCTTGACACCCAAACATGATTTGCGGACACTTAAGACACGACTAGATGTATCAAACGAACAAGGCTAGTATAAACATGGCATGGGTACAATACAAACACAAGCTAGAACAAATACGACAATATAAATAGGTCGAGTCGGGCTGGACTTTTAGCTCAATAAGCATGACATAGTACACCCATGAAATGGACCACACACGAACACGATACGAAACACAAATTGGCTCATTTAAATGCATAAATCCCATTTGACGACTCTACCCAATGTGGCCTGAAGTTTGGAGGCTGGTAACATCTTCAACCACCCTCGACCGAGAGGAAAATGATGAGAAGAGGGGGAGGGGATGTGCAAGGTTTTTTCCTTTAAATTTCCTAATCTTGTAGCTTTTTAAATTGGCTTATTATCACAAAACATCCCTAAGGTTTGCGAAACTATCACATTGCGTCCTTTATTTTTTTTTTTGTCATTTATGGTCCTTAAGGTTAATAAGTGTCTTCACAAATAGTCCTTGCCGTCAGATTCCGTTAAAAAGTTTGTTAAGTTGATGATGTGGCACATATATGGGTCCCACATATCCAATAATATGACGCCACATGGATTAAATAAAATAAACATTTGAAACTTATAAAAAAAAATTAAAAAACTTAAAAGAAAAGAAAATATATTAAAAACAAATAACACAAAATCACCATCATCTTCTCCATCGCACTAAACCCCAACCCCCACCATCTTCCTTCCCCCATTTTTCTCCTCGCTCCCACCCACATCTCCTCTCTCTCTCCCTCTCACACCTCCAACAGTCGCATCTATCCTCACCCACCCTCCGCACCACTGCCCCGCCCTCCTCCTTTTCTCTCCCTTTTTGTCTCTCTTCCATGCTCTCTTTATTTGATAGCAACCAACCTAAACTCCACCCCCCTCCCCTCCAAACAAACCCAGACAACCACTAAGCCCACCTAACCCACTCATTTGGCCTTTACTAACCACCATCCAATTTTGGTCTTTGGTGGTGGAGATTAGACGGGCAGTGGGTGAGGTTCCTAGCATATCAAGGTTTGGGTTGGCTGCTGTGGGTGTTGATTTGAGATTGCAGGTTGGGATATGGAGGAGGCTGGATATGGGGGTTTTTGTTTTTTGGATGAAGGATGTGGGGGTTTGGTGCAATGGAGGAGGTGGTGATTTTTTTTTTTTTGGGTTTCTAATTTTTTTTTAAGTTTTTAAAAATGGTTTATAATTTGAAATTTATTTTTAAAATGTATTTTTTATTTAATCCACGTGGCGTCATATTATTGGATATGTGGGACCCACATATGTGCCACATCATCAACTTAACAGACTTTTTAACGGAACTGACAACAAGGACTATTTGTGAGGACACTTATTAACCTTAAAGATCATAAATGACAAAAAAAAACATAAAGGATGCAATCTGATAGTTTCGCAAACCTCAGGGATGTTTTGTGATAATAAGCCTTTTAAATTTAGGGAACAAAATTAAAATTTTAAACTTAAATATGGGATTGGGTGTGTATAGAATAGCCCAAAATCCAACCCATCCAAGGCCCCAACAAAAGAAGAAGCTCAAAAGCCTTGTCATTTGATCCATATTACACTACCACTACCAGAACACCTCCAAGCCCCGGTTAAACCTTTCCTCTCATGGCTTTTGCAGTCTTCAAACACTTGAAGAGGCACCAAAACCTCGCTGCAAATGTATCCCCAATCAAATTTTACTGCAGAGCAAGGCACACTGCCAACACAAGAAATCTCTACTCAAGAATCAGTCCTCTTGGGGACCCTTCTCTCAGTGTCGTCCCAGTTCTTGACCAATGGCTTCAAAAAGGCGGAAAAGTAAATTACTTTGAGCTCCAGCGGATCGTTCGAGACCTCCGGGCCCGAAAGCGATACAGGCATGCCCTTGATGTGAGTGAATTTGAGCAAAAAGGTCTCCTTTTGCTTGCTGATAATGTTTTTATTCTGTTTTTCTCTTGTACTAAAACTTCTGCTGATTCATTTGGTTGCTAGTAGAAATCTAGTCTTGTTTGTTTTTCTAGTGTTTTTTTTTTAATGTTTGTTGGGTTCCATTAGATGCTGAAAAACTCGCCTCAAACAGTCTATTGGTTTCAATTGAATGATTCTTTGCCTGCAATCCCCTGCTTGCTTGCTAAGAAAATTAATATGTAAAAAAAGATTTTTATGACAGGTTAATTTGGTCATAGGGAAAATGGGAAACCCACAAGAAAATGAGCTTTGGTTTTCTTCTTTTTTTCAGATGAACTGATAGAATTCATTCCCAGGTTCTGATATTTAACATATTCCACAGTTTTCTGTTTCCAGTTGACATGTTACTCAAGCTTCTGCCTTTTTCATTGTTGTTGTGAAGGTTTCTGAATGGATGAGTAGCAAAGGCCTGTGCCAATTTTTACCCGGTGACCATGCCGTGCAGCTTGATCTCATTGGTAGAGTTCGTGGCGTAGATGCTGCAGAGAGCTGCTTTAGTAGCTTGAGTGATGAGGATACTAGCAAAAGTTATGGTGCACTTCTGAATTGTTATGTGAGAGAAGGCCTCATTGATAAGTCTCTCTCTCATATGCAGAAGATGAAAGAGTTGGGTTTTGCTACCTCTCTCAACTACAATGACATTATGTGTCTTTATATACATACTGGCCAGCCTGAGAAAATCCCGGATGTGCTATCAGAGATGAAAGAGGAGGGTGTTTCTCCTGACAATTTTAGCTACAGGATTTGCATGAGCTCTTACGGAATGAGATCTGATATAAGTAGCATGGAGAAAGTTTTGGAAGAAATGGAGAGGGAACCACACATCTCCATGGATTGGCTTACTTATGCTATGGTAGCCAATTTATACATTAAAGCAGGTCTCCATGACAAAGCATTGATCTACCTGGAAAAGAGTGAAGAGAAGGTAAATAAAGATGCGCTTGGCTACAATCATCTAATTTCACTTTACGCAAGCCTGGGATGTAAACATGACATGATGAGGTTGTGGAGCCTTGAAAAAATCAAGTGTAAGAAGCAAATCAACAGGGATTACATTACCATGCTTGGTTCTCTTGTGAAGCTTGGGGAGCTTGATGAGACAAAAAAATTGCTAGAGGAGTGGGAGTTATCATGTCTCTCTTATGATTTCCGAGTGCCAAATATCCTCCTAATCGGATATTGTCAAAGGGGGTTGGTTGAACAAGCTGAAGACACTCTTCGAGACATCGTCAAAAAAGGCAAGACTCCAACTCCAAATAGTTGGGCAATTCTTGCTGCAGGATATGTGGACAAGCAGAAGATGCAGAAGGCTTTTGAGTGCATGACGGAAGCTCTGAATTTACGGGCAAGAAACACAGGATGGAGGCCGAAACCTGGTGTGGTTTCCAGTGTATTGAGTTGGATTGGAGACAATGGAGACATTGAACAAGTAGAAGCCTTTGTAAGCTTAATGAAGACTGTGATTACAGTAAATAGGGAAATGTACCATGCCTTGATGAAGGCATACATCAGAAGTGGAAAAGAAGTGGAAGGGCTTTTACACAGCATGAAAGAAGATCAAATAGAGGCCGATGATGAAATCCTAAGCTTACGACAGAAGTAACACTGAAACAACAAGAAGGTTTTTTTATTGGTACTTTTCCCTCTTCTATGCTATTATATAATGAGATCTTTAGTTTTGGTGCAACTCTTTACTTAGCATGTTGTTGGTCACAGACCTGCATCCATAAAACTTACAGCCACTGAAAATGCAATTGACAAAAACACAAGCAGATAATTTTAGTTAATCTCGGAAATATTAATAATGCAGAACTGTTAGAAAATGCATTACAAAGGCCTTTTGAAAAATAAATGCACTGGAAAAGAATTTATGCTTGTACCTTTGAAGAGGCTATCATATATAGCTTGGTCTGGTTAATCCATTATGATCATTGATTTATAGGTATGTATACCAAAGCAACACTTACTGATGGTTACAGGGTATTATAGAAAAAAAGAGCAAAGACTTAACTCTATTGGTGGCAATTGGCATATGCAATTTGTTTTTCTTTCACTAATGTTCCTAATCTCTTTGGTTTTTAGTATTAATTCTTCTTGCCCAATGATTTTCATTTAATTGATTAAATAAAATTCTGTATGAGCCAATTTTCTGAAAATTTTCCGAAACTTCACAAATGATAGTAGGTCGAATTTCCAAGAAACAAACACAGATGAACAAAAGAAAACCAAACACAGTTCTGTTTGCTTCACGGTTGATTGGTTTCCAGGAAAACAGAAGGAAACTAAACTAATGGTGAACTTTTGGCTTTTGAAATAACATCACTGCAAACTCAACAGAAGAAATAGCCAAACCCAACACTACAACCGAGTTGACTTACCAAACAACAAGAACACACACCTCATAATTTCTCTCACTTGCATTTCCTTTATCTTCTCAACAACCAAGTAGAGGGTTAAAGTACATGTGATTCCGTTTGTATATGTGTATGTGTATCAGTGTGTGTCAAGTTTACTTGATTATAATTTCGACAATGTCATATTCTCACATATTATTGAATAAAAATAATTTATATTAAAAAATATATTATAATGGCCAAACTTTTAAAATGTACTATGCCAAAATTTTGCCGAATAAACCACGTACATATTTTATATACTTATAACAAAATTTCTTACTTGTTGTAACAAAAATGCAAGATATATGTGTACTTATATATACAAATGGTATAGCCACCCGGTGGCTATACTCTTTTTGTTAAAAACGTAAAGCAGA